CCCCAAAACCCCAAAACCCCTCAATCCAAATTATGAAAAAATATACAGTTATGAAATTAAGAATTAAAGAAATCACATATTGTCCTGATCACCATTTGATCTTCCTAATTTAACATCTAGCAAGGATTCAATAAATTACTATCTGCTATAATCACATGGGAAAATAAGTTTTTCAATTTTGTTATTTCCAAATTGTAATTCAACAACTGAATCTTTGCCCTTATGAACATGCAAGTCCATGATTTCACTTAGAGTTTTCTTTAAAACTAATTAGAGAGTCCCTGTTACCGCTACTTTTATTTTATTTTCTTCGGCTTTTTGAGCCATCGACTGACCCTCATCAGCATCTTTTAGCTTTTGCTACATTTTTTCTAGCAATGCTTATATTTTTTCAAAATCATCAATACAAAACCATTTGCTCCAATATTCGTTTAAGAGTACTACGTGAGTCTTTGAAAGTGCTAGTAATAAACTGCTTTAAATGATTTATTCTTCTCCCCAAAAACTACTCAATAAACTTCTTGAGGGATTTGCACCCAAACCTAAGTTCACATGAATAGTTCCAAGCAAAGTTTAGTCATCTTTTATTGTTGCTTGTTGATCTTATATCACATCCTTTAGATTTATCATTTCCTCTGCTGCAATAGTAATGGAATATTTATACATTTTGATCTTTTTTCATTACACAGCTACAGAGCTAGAATATGATAAAAAGTTTTTGAACCACCTCAAGAAATATTACTACTTCAAGTATTTTATCATGTTTAAATTTGTATTTAGTTTTCGGATCTTCAGGACATAAATTTTCTGGTGGAAACACACTACAAGCTTTATTGTTTGTATATCTCATCATATGAATTCCTTTGTTTGTAAATACTATTTATCTTGCTTTAAAATTTTGATTTCCATCTATTGATGCATCAACCTATTATATCAAGTTAATATATTATCTTTAATCTAGTTCAAATCCAAATCTCTTTTCAATATAGGTCTCTACTGATAATTTGCATATGCTTCAAGTAAGGATTTTAGGATTTCTTATAAAAATAACTCTCTTAACTTTTTCTTTTCAAAAACAACTCCTTTCAAAAATGCCTCAATTATATTCTAATTATAATCTTTACACTAACTCAAAAATCACCAAGAAACTTTTTAATTTGCTCTCTAGCTTGTTCATGATTTAATTTTATGAACTTTTTTCATTGGAATCAATGGCATCATTTTTGTATTTTTTGTTCAAATATTCTTTAGGATATTCCCATATCTCTGAAGAGGATAGCTATAAATTTTCTTATGCTTTATAAAGGAAAAAATTGAGATATCTTATATATCTATTATATTTTCCTAAGGAAACCTACAAATTCTAGAATGAGATCCAACTTATTTTACTTCCATAAATGACCATCTCAATAAAGTGCATTAATCACTGATCAATCTTCAAGTTGCTGTAAGCTCATATATTAAAATCTTATCCTCATTTGTGAGTGGCTTTTATTATTCATTTTTTATCTTTATTATGAGTTTATTAAGAATTTTTCAAATCACAACACTTATTATTTCATAGAGTTGACGATTCTTAAATTCTTCATTAGCCTTATGATTAGGAATTTTTATTATATATTTCATAATTCTTTAATACTTAGCTCCAATTTTTCCCTCAAACCAGCCAGTTGTATCAAATAATTAGATAATATTTCTGAAAAAAATTTTCGTCTTTCAAGTTTCTGACATCTTCTATATTTACCTCTTGGTTAGTAGCATTTCCAATGCATCAGAGAGTCATTTATGCTAGCAGTAGAGAGTGATCATATTTTTAATTTTATTCTCCAATCTTGTAATCTCTCTTCTTGATATTTTCAACATTTTGGCTCTTTACTTAAGCATTTTAGACAAATAAATCCTAAGTGACTTATTCGTCATAATTTGAGCCAAGATCTTCCTATTTTAAAGCCATTCTGAGGATCTTTACTTTTAAATATATATTAGTATGTTAATTCCTTTTTCATCCCTGTTTCTTGTTATTAATTATCTCTTTAACTTTTCTTTCTTCCTTCTAGTGTTACTTTTCAAACTCCCTCAATTCTTATTTTCTCTTTTTTTGAAGAAAAATCTTTTTAAGCTTCAATTTACTTGTGTCATAGGCATAAGAGTATTCTTTTTTAAATATTACTTATATTCAGGAACCTTTTTGTCAAAACATTCTAATCAATGGAATTCCATTACTCGATGTAAATAGATAATGCTATTA